AAAATAAATTCAAAAATTATTAATATAAAATAACAAGCACACGATTAAGTCGTAAAAGTACTTTTGATTATGCGTAAGAGTAAGGAAATATAATTCAGACTAGACTTGAGGTGCCCAAGAACTCCTGGTGCCGATTAATAGCAAGTGAGCTTGTTATTTACACTTACACTTACGAGACGCGGTTGTATTTTTTTATTTGCATTTTTCTAAACTTATATTGATTACACTAAAACTAGTTAATGTTATACCTTTAGACGAGCAATTCTTGTGTATTAATACATATATATATATAATCTGAATCTCGGAAACGGCTCCAAGGATCTTCATAAAATTTAGTAGGTATACAGGGGATTTCGGGGGCGATAAATCGATCTAGCTACGATTTATTTTCAGAAAATGATGTTTTATTCGTGTTTTCAATAATCAGCTTTATTGATATCTTCCCGACATCTATTGGCGAATAATAATACTATTTTTCATATTTTCAACAAACTGCTTTAAAGACACAATAACACTAAAGCTATTTCAGCAGATGGCGTTGTTAAGCCACTTATGAAATCAAAAACCGACGTCTAGTGGTTATTAAGTAGACAATAAAAAAAGAAAATTCCTTGACAAAAGGCAAGGAAAATGCTCCGTCTGTTTGTATTGCTAGATTTAAATAAATTTTGAGTTACATTACATTGAGTGATTCGGGAAACAAAATAGCAGACTATCGAAAAACAAACACTCAAATATTAACATACATACATTTTTGTAGCCCCTAAAATTTTGAACAGTAATATATAATAGGAAAATACACATTGAAGGAAAATAGACATTATGAAAATGATATACGAATTGCCGAACCAAACATAACAAAAACACATGGAAATAAACGGCTAAAGAGCGTTGATTTTGATTATATGTTCATATCGACGCTTGAAAGGCAAACGAGACTAAGCGACAATAACTGCTTTGTACATAAATGATAGGCAATAACCATATTCGAAACACACAAAAAAAAATGTGTGCGTGTACTAGTGTACACACGTAAGAAGTGAAACTTTTTTATGGCCTTATTTTTCGAAAAATGATCTACATGCAACTTTCTAGAAATTGGTTAAATAAAGTTAAATTAGATAAAGTTTAAACAAAAGGATTTTATTATCATAGACATGAATACAAAAAAGATGGCGCGTAACGGAAAAATGTGACGCGTAACCGAAAAATGTGACGGTAAATTTTTTTCCAACGCCGATAANTATGATTGAAGGATTACTGGTGGCCCGGAGGCCTTTCCAGTTTCACCAGGACAGGTGGGCGAGGAAAGGCTCAGCCAGGAGGGGTGGGATTTGCTAACAGCTACCCGAGCGCCTCCGAAGGAGACCTAACAGCTCAAGAGTAGCTGCTTCGCGAATGAATCTACTACCGGATCGGAATCGCGACCCGCTGAGAAGATCCGGCGAGAAACTCAGCGAGCTGATTCATGGGTTAGGTTGCACGGCGAACTCTTTGTCGAGTTCGACGAGTACGGTTACCGAGGTCCCTAAGCCTGCTCCTAGTGTTAGAGCTGAAGGCGTCTAATGCAAAAGTTATTGGATCTGATGGATCCGTAAGGACGTGGTGCATTTTATGTTATTTGAGTCGTCTATTATCAAAGGTGGCAATCTGTGCATTTGGACAAAAAAATGTTATTGATATGGCAATACAGATTGATTTGAATATAATCGTCTCCTTCAAAGAATACGGTTCAAAACCTGAATTAAATAAAGTATTAACTTAACCTGTTATTTATCTAAGATGTCGTTCAGAAGAGTTTTGTGACTGCCGATGAAATACAAAGTCAATAATTCGTTTCTCTGATTTACCAATAATTGTTCAAAAGTCACATTGCCGGCTTTGATAATGGTCGACTCATTTATAAGTTACGTGCTATATTCTTCTCGATCCAAGGAAGTAGGGGAGATATCTTTGTATAGACTCCCGGTAGAATACCACATCCGTGGCCGAAGGAAGATATTCCGACTTGAGCGTTCTTGTACGTTAATGGTCCCCCACTGTCACCCTGTTACGTGAACAACACATCGTTACGAAAAATGTATCAAATATTAATTTTGACAGTATGGCTGCTTGAAGATATTTTTGTTGCATAGATGAATGGAAGAGTTCACCAATCTGGTGTTAAGTGGGATACCGAAACCCATAGATAACAACGACAGAAATTATGCCACGCACCTTGATACATGGGTTCTGAGTCTCAGGTTGACAGTACAACAGATAAAGGCAGGGTGGTGGTGATAGCTACCCGTGAGGGCTCACAAGACGCCCTACCACCAGTAATTACGGAAATTATAATTTTTGCGGTTTTGATTTCAATTACACGATGTTATTCATTCATCGTGAAAGTCATTCGTGAACATTTGTAAATTACGTATTTCATTCGCGCATCAAACGCGAAATTAAGCCGTAAAATTTGTTTTAATTATGTCTATGACTGGTGAAAGCCCAAGGAAATTGTATTGTACTATAAATTTTCCCCTCAAGAACGTACCATTTTTCAAAGCTCAAAGCTCATATCAAGTAAACTGGTTAACACATCCCATAGACGTCAACTAAACAAGGGTAGGCTCTATGACACGTGAGATTAAAGTCTCAATTACAATACAGAAAATTTCCCTTGACTAATACAAAAAAATTAAGAATTTTCAAATTATGCGTCGACAGGTTTTAAAAATAAGCAATATCAAATCTCACTCTGAATCAAATAATACAACAACATAATATAAACTTTTCAAAGGATTTTTTTTTCTAATAATTGGTTTGAAAACGGAGTGTTTTCCATCACAATACGTTATATAAAAATGTATTTAAATAAGTAGTAAAATAATATAAAAATATTTTTATATATTTTTTATTTATTGTTAAGATGGATGGACGACCTCACAGCCCACCTGGTGTTCAGTGGTTACTGGAGCCCATAGACATCTACAACGTAAATGCCGTCACCCACCTGGAGATATGAGTTGTAAAGGTCTCAGATTAGTTACAACGGCTGCCCCACCCTACAAACCGAAACGGCTTCATGGCAGAAATAGTCAGGCTGATGGTACATACCCATGCGAACTCACCAGTCCACCACCAGTATAAAATAATAATTTTAAATTTACAAATATTTTTTCCCTGTAAACCCCATATCGTACCTGACAAGCATCGGCGTGAACACCTCCAGCACAAATCATTCTAGATGTGAGGCGAATTGACCAGTACTGAATTTGACATTTGTTTCTCGACACCATAGCCACTTTAGCTTGTCGTAAATTTAACGGAAAAGCTCCACCCTAGAACATGATGATGATGCTGAGTTTCTCCGAGTATTCGTATTAAAATTGCTATACAGTATGATCGTATTATACGCGAGCATTTTGTATTATTATCGCGATAGGATAGCGGGTCTGTACATTTTTTATTTAGCGATGCATAACTTTTTATAGCATAAAACGCAATTTCCCCAGATATACAGTTTGCCCGGGTAGCCCTAGATAACAATAGTGTATTTGAATATCTTTTTTGTCCTTTTAGGCAGACGAGCATATGGCCCATCTGAAGATGAGTGGTTATCGTCGCCTATTGACATCAGCAATGCCAGGGACAGAGCTAAGCCGCTGCCTACCGTTAAGTCTCACATACTTGACAAGGGGTTGCAACGCATCAATGTGTCGCGAAACAGTGTTGAAGAACCGCTATTCTAGAAGACATCTTATGTAGTTTATATCTCTATTATTGTATTATCTCGAAAAATTTTCACTCATAGTCAATACTGTGCAAGAATACGTTTAAGCCCACAGAGTTTCTCGCTGAATCTTCTCAGTGGATCGCTATTCCGATCCGGTGGTAGATTCTGCGAAGCTCTGCTCTTGCTAGGGCTAGTGTTAGCAAATTCTCTCAGGTTGAGCCCGTGAGCTCACCTACTCGTCCGGGCGTAGCTGGAATAGCCTCTTAGGCTACCAGCGATAAAAAAAACGTTACATTTTCGCATATACTTATTCGAATATAAGACAATAAAAAAATCACTTCAGTGAAAGTTTCAAGATAGTTGGCATTGGCGCCGTGATGTCTCCGATGGAAGTCTAAAATCAGGCAAGTCGTATGTTCGTTAGCTTTCGATATCAAGCAAAAGACATGTACTTATAACAATAAAAACAAATAATAAAACTAATAAAAATAAACATATATAGTCAAAAGATTAAAACTTAAACAACTATTAAAATATACATCGATACTGAATTACTAGTTGTTAATGATGAAGCATGAAGAATGTTTCAAAAATGCTTCGGGCATAGTACCATAGCAATAGAAGTGTGATAAAATTTGTGAAGTTTATATAATACTAAACGTATCTTGCAGCTTTGTCTTCATTAAATTTGTAATCCAGCAAGAATAATACACCTTACCTTTAGGAAAATACACGTTGTATTTTCCCGGGATAAAGAGTTGTCCGTCTCTAGTCTGTAAAACAGTCGATTTGCAGATCGGTCGCTACGCATCACGACCCAGTGAATACTATCGTTTTTTTTTTGTTTATCCGTCTTTACACATAAAATAACTTCATGCGAAATCCATGTAGAAATCTTTGCTTGACGCCGTAACTAACATTCTAACGTAGCGCAGATTACTGGACCGTCACTGGGACCCGTGGAGTTATTCAGACATTTTATTTCTAATTTGTGGTCACTTTTCACATATATTTTTGAATTGCTTAGATGGGTGGACAAGCTCACAACCCACCTGGTGTTAAGTGGATACTGGAGCCCATAGACATCTACAATGTAAATTCGCCACCCACCTTGAGATATAAGTTCTAAGGTCTCAAGTATAGTTACAACGGCTGCCCCACCCTTCAAACCGAAACGCATTACTGCTTCACGGCAGAAATAGGCAGGGCGGTGGTACCTACCCGTGCGGACTCACAAGAGGTCTTACCACTAGTAAACATGTCAACAATAACCAATAAAACTAATTCAACTTACGTCGGTCACGCCCCAGCCGGTCACACTAAACATATTACCGCTCCTAAGTTTCAATCTGCTATCGGCGAGAGGCACTTCGGCAATATTCGGCCCGTACTCCAGAGGTCTTTTCAATTTTATAAGACTTATATCAAAGTCTTTAGTGATCTTCGAATAAGATTCGTGGACTATAAATTTTTCGATGTCGTAAACTGTCCCACCTCGGTCCAATAGAGAAGTGCCTACTAATATATTGTACGTGATATTACTGAAATAGAAAACAGAAACAGAAGCGTTTATGTATTATATGGACCAAAAGAATAAATATGCATATAATATGTTAATTAGAATATTCGTAACATATTTTATCAATTTAAACTTTGATTATGCTAAATCTAACAGCACGCTATAGCACATTGCATTTAAAAGGATATAACTAGTCAGGTCATAAGTATTGTCACACAGTAAAAACTTTTCTTTTAGAATTCTGGCCACAAAAAAGTTTATTGAATTCGAATGTCGAATTGTTCATGAAAATAAAAATGTATACTTTTAGAATTTTACTCATTTAATAAATATGGAGTGGACGCTTAAAGAAGACCGTGTTGCAGTTATTGCGTTGCATCGTTGCGGTTACGCGCCAATTCAAATTTTTAACATACTGAAAAATTTTAATATAACCAAAAGATTCGTTTATCGTACCATCAAACGATACAATGAAGACTCTAGTGTAGATGACAGGTCAAGAAGTGGTCGCCCTCGGTCTGTTAGGACTCCAGCAGTGATAAAAGCTGTGAAGGCGCGAATTCAAAGAAATCCCAAACGTAAGCAGAAACTGTTGGCCCTTCAGATGGGGTTAAGCAGAACCACGGTGAAAAGGGTGTTAAATGAAGACTTAGGGCTTCGGGCATATCGAAGAAAAACAGGACATCGTTTGAATGCTCGTCTAATGGACCTGAGACTGAAGAGATGCCGCGCTTTGTTGAAGCGGTACGCGGGAAAAAAATATCGGGAAATTCTTTTTTCGGATGAAAAAATTTTTACCGTAGAAGAGAGCTACAACAAACAAAATGATAAGGTGTACGCACACAGTAGTGAAGAAGCGAGCAACCGTATTCCGCGTGTCCAACGAGGTCATTTTCCATCCTCGCTCATGGTATGGTTGGGAGTTTCTTATTGGGGCTAAACAGAGGTACATTTTTGTGAGAAAGGTGTAAAAACGAATGCAGTTATGTATCAAAATACAGTCCTGACGAACCTTCAGGAACCTGTTTCTCATACCATGTTCAATAACAGGCACTGGGTATTCCAACAAGATTCGGCGCCAGCTCATAGAGCGAAGAGCACACAAGACTGGCTGGCGGCGCGTGAAATCGACTTCATCCGGCACGAAGACTGGCCCTCCTCCAGTCCAGATTTGAATCCGTTAGATTACAAGATTTGGCAACACTTGGAGGAAAAGGCGTGCTCAAAGCCTCATCCCAATTTGGAGTCACTCAAGACATCCTTGATTAAGGCAGCCGCCGATATTGACATGGACCTCGTTCGTGCTGCGATAGATGACTGGCCGCGCAGATTGAAGGCCTGTATTCAAAATCACGGAGGTCATTTTGAACAAACTTTAGTGTCATAAGAATCTATGTTTTGTTAAGTTCATTTTGGTATATCAATAGTTACATAATGAATAAACTTGTTTCAATTATTTTACATTAAACATGTGACAGAATTTATGACCTGACTAGGTATAATAGCATTTTCACCACGAGACAGAGAGAGACTTTGGGAGGCTGAATGACAAAGGGAAGATCTTCCATCGAGCGGGTGATATTGCTCGGTAGACCGTCGGTCCAAATGCTGTTGCTTGGAACTTGTATATATGCAAGCTTATCTTGAAAATGTCGTAAGCGAGATTCAAACATCTGTCAAATATCTTGCTTTGTATGATGGCTACCGCCACAAGACCTATTCAATACAATTAAATACAACAGAATTAATTAATTTAATTTTAATAATAATTTGTCAAGAAATAGAAGAGGCATGTAGACAACTAAAGCTCAGCATGCACCTTCTGTGTTGGTTCTTTTTTAATGAGAGTAGACATAAAACCTCTCGCATGGCCACTTATAAAAAAGAAACATAAGAAGCAAACGTCAAAAATAAAAAAGAAGACTATCGCCGACCGCACCGCACGCGCTGTACACGCACACGCCGCTTATTTTTTCACAAATATTTTCATGGACTCAAATTAATTCTCTATTATACAAACTCTTACTGACGACCATATTCGTCGTTGCGCGAGTGATATACAAGTTTTATAGACAATAATTTAGAAGAGTGCCGTGTCAAGTCGCCGCCATTACGCGTCGTCCAGCAGTGGCGTCGAATTCTTCAGCCTGGAAGAAGCTAGCGACGGGTTGGCAGGTACGTCTACTCCTCATAGCCTAGCCTCGGCCTTCCCCTCTTTTGTGCATCTTTAGCGATACTCGCCCCCGCAAAACTTTCTTCAAAAATATTGAACCAGCGCACCGCCGTGGTGGAAAATTTGTAAAGAGTTTTTCCCACTATTATTGGTCCTTCGTCCCCGGATTACATTTTAATCATCGCTGATCACCGCTTATTACGCGAATAAACACGCTTTATTATATATTTTGATATTTTATTCGCACCGCATTTCATCATATTTCATTTTTTTTGACAGGTCATTGACCTTTACTTACGCAATCCGCAACAATGTCTTCCTCTGAACAGAAATTGACAATTCTAGAATGTCAACGACAAGTCTATTTCGAACACATACAACGTATTTACGATTTATCTCGCAGTAATTTAAATGATCCTGAAACATTGGAAAACTTTCTTTGTTCGGTAGAAACAATCGATGAGACCCGCATTAATTTCCAACAATGTCTCAAGGACATAAATCAATTAATATTAAAAATCGACTCCGATTCTAAGCCCGACTTCAATAAGTGGCTCGCTTTTGAAGATTTATATTGTCGTATCAAACGTAAACGTTCGCAGTTAGAATCAAAACCCACCATGTCTGTCAAAAGAAATGACGACTGTTGGCAAGGTGTTAAATTAGCTCGCATTGAAATTCCCGAATTCGATGGGAACCCTAAAGATT